CAGAGTAGAACTGTCTTCTATAAGAATGTAACAGTCTAGAAATAGGAGAGAGTCAGAAATCAGGACATACTCAGATTTGTCTCTACTTACAGGTTCTAGTACTACAAACTGCTCTGTTTGTACAAGAGTAGCAGACTTCTACTTTAAACATAGGGACTCAATACACTCTTTTATAATAGAGACTATGTTTTCCAGTTTAGACAGACCTGTTAAGTAACTGTCCCCTCTATGATTTATAAAGGGTTTATAGTATTAGAAACATTCCTAGTTCTTTATCAGAAGCTAGTACTCTGTATAGGACAAACTGATACACTTTGTAGTACTTTCTAAAGTAGCCTTTAGACTGGCTATTGTAGGAATAACCTTTCCTGTATACTACTTCTCCTAATCCTTCTTCTAGACCTGTTCTACAGTAAGTATTACTTTTACACTATTATAAACTTTTGTGTAGTCTACTTTTAACTGTTCTGCCAGTTTACACACATGTTCTAACCACCTGTAAAGCTGGGCACAATCTGTTACTTCTTTTCCTAAGACTGGTTCTAGGGTCAGGAGGTGATCTGTAGAATCAGGGATCTGACTATTTACTAAGGTTACTATATACAACCTTTCTATATACATTATAAGCTGTTCAGAATGTGTTAGGACTAAATTTGTAAGTGTGAGGCAAAGCTTGAACTAGAGGTCTAAGTATAGGTTAGCTTTAAGAAGTTTGTAAAGTCTATTAGAATCAAGGTACCAATCTTCCAGAAGACTAAAGTTGATTTTAGTAACCTGTAGCTACTATTCTTAGAAGTTGTAACTATCTTACTATGTTACTAGTAGCCTGTTCCAGGTTTGTACTACTTAGTCTGTAGAGAGTATTTTGTACTAAAGCTCCTAATAGAATGTGTCCAGTATAAGCCCTTCAAGTCTAAGCTAGTCATACTTGTACTACTAGTATAGTCTACTGTCCTATAGACATTCTATTACAACTGTAACTATACAGGTTGTAAGGACAGATTTGGCAGACACATACTTACAAAATGTAGAGATTTATAACTAGAGAGTGTATAGTGTTAGGTTGTCTAGAGTCAGTATTAGAGACTTTATTATACTTTCCCAGACTACTTAAGCTTTAGTAAATGTAGTACAGAACATTATAGCCTTCTAGTAGTTTAGAGTAAGTGGCTCACTTATATTACTTTCTAGTTCTGAGAGGTCTAAGCTACTTACTAAATCTGAACTTAGAGTTACTGTAAATAGTAGTAGTGTAGAGAAAGTAAATACAGCTTCTCTAGTTAACAGAGGAGTAACTATAGTAGCTTCTAAAGATACCTAGTACTAAGGGAAACAAGACCTGGTTATATGTAGTTAGGAAGAGAGCTAAACTTATTTTAAGACTATAGTAGTGTATTCAGAAAGGCTAGAGAGCCTTACTAACAGTAGAGAGTGTTTAGGAAGGCTGGAGGAACCTTACTAATAGTAGGAGACATTTAGGAAGGTTAGGAGAACCTTACTAATAGTAGGAGACATTTAGAAAGGTTAGGAGAACCTTACTAATAGTAGGAGACATTTAGGAAGGTTAGGAGAACCTTACTAATATGTAGTATAACAAAGACTACTTTGTTATTGTTAAAAAAAGTAGAACAGTACTAGGAAAGTACTAAACACTGTTACAAACAAGTTCTGTTAAGTTTTAAGTTTACTAACACATGTAGAATGCTGACAGGACAAAGGCATCTTTGTTACAGTCAGGAATAAGAACTAGTCTATATACATGTAAGAACTCACCTTTATTACAGTCAGGAATAAGAACTGGTACAACAAAGGTGAAAGATTGAAACTATATATACTAGAAATGAAACAAAGGTGGCTCATACCTAAAGGGGAAAACAATACTAAAGAGAAAAAGGAGAGTGTATACACTTAAGAATGAAGGGTATGTGACTCAGACAATAAGGAAACATAGTATAAAGACAAAAGAGGAAATGTGTGTAACTCTAGAGTCTACACTAAGGAGATCTAGGCTTGAGAGAAGGTCTAGGTTTAGAAATGTAGTTCTACACTAGGAGGGGTACAGAATAGTATAGAAGCTGTTATAAGCTGTAGAGTAGGCTTACAGTTATACTTATATTAACAATTATACTATTAGTAATACTAACAGAATTTGTATTCTACTTTAAGACTTTCTTACTATATAATTATGTAAAGCACTTAGTATTATATTAGAAACTTTAGTGTATATAACTCTAGTATTGTTAACTCTAATATATTTATAACTAGTTACAGTATAGTTGTTATTAAATATTTGCTACATATATTAAACTAGTACAAAGCTAGTAGTATAAGAGTCTCTAGTGTTTTGTTAGCTTATTTAAAGTCTAGCCTTAGTAAGTACTAGTTTACTTATATAGTTTTATTATTTATTTATAATACTTTTACTTATTCTCTTTATTCTTAGCTTTTGTCAATCCTATTTATTACTCAAGTCAGAATACATACTAGTAAGACTACTAACACATTCACTTTTGTTATAAACACTCTTTCTATTATACATTTTTCTAGTTATTATATAAGTAATTTGAAAAGAGGTTTGTAAAGTTTTAAAAACTGTAAGTATAAAATAGTAAAAAAGCTAGTAATGTTCTAACAGTTGTTTATACTAACACTTTTGCCTGATTATAAACTATAACAAAGTAGCAAACCTGTCTTTTTTACACTTTTTACTTATAATCAAATTACTTTACTTATTAGTTAAATATATTTTAATACAAACTTAAACTATTTGCTAAAAAAATTTTAAATAGTAACAATAAGAATCAGAGACTAAGCCTCTTTTACATACTAAAACAATTAAGAAATACACTGGTCTGATAATTAAAAGTCTTAATAATAAAGTAGTTAAATAATCTAAGATACAAAGTTAAGTATTACTTCAGAAACAATAAACTATATTATAAGTAGTAAATAGTATCTTATTATAAAACATTTACAGCTTAGTAGTAATATAATCTGAATTAAATAATTTATTTATCTACTTAGCTAATATTTTTTATAGTAGATAACAAATCCCAAAATTCTGAAGTATTAAAATACATTTTTGGTATCTCTTTTATAATTATTATAAAGAAAGTATATACTATAAGTTTATAATTTATTATAAAATTAATTACTGTCTTTATAATTCTTAGTCAAGCTTTCAACTACTTTTAGTTTATATTATTACTAACAGTTATATTAGGACACTCAGGCTTGCTAGGCAAATAATTTATAAAAGTTTAGCCTTATAGTTTATAGCTAATACAATAATATAACTAACAATATATATGCTTTTATTAGTACAGAGGAAAATAAACTTTAAAGCAATAATTCTTGAGTTAGATATTTGATCTGCATGTTCAATATCATCAACAATCACCCCTGTTAACTTTTGTAGTAGATAATATAATAGTCAACTCTGTAGTAATAGTATTACTACTGTAACTATTACTATTACAATTTAAAACTTTACTAGTTTGCCTCTCTAGTATTATCACTAGCTTCAGTCTGTCCTACTTCATACTTCTTACTATCCTTGCTGTTCTCATCATTCTCTTTTGAAGACTGTTGTCTTTTAAGAAGCTTGGCTTTTATAGCAGGAGGAAGATGTGATACTTCAGGTGGTCCTACAGAGGGTTTTTTTTGTTTGCCTTGATCTTTTAAGTTGCTACTATCTTGAGTGTCATCTTCTGACCCTGAATTCCTCCAACAGTTCATGCTGAGTGCTTTGTATAAGACTTTTCTGTGGGATTGTTTTCAAGTAGCTTGAAACTGGACAAATCACAGTTGATGAGGATAATGTGAGTACAGTTGACTGCATTATATAGCTTTGTCTTGTCTATCAGACTAATATTGTCACCAACACTACCTGCTTTGCATCTTGACGGGTCGCTTCGCCCGGCGTGCAAAAGAATCCGGATGCAAACTTCTATCCTTGGAGATAAAGTATGTAAACTTGGTCAAATGTCGAGGACACAATCTCTCGGGAGAAACCGACAGCCTGTAGAAGAAGTTCGTAACGCTGATAGTAGTATTCACGTCCCACGCAATTTAGGCCTAAAGGAGTGAATTTCTAATTAGTTTGCATGATACGCATTGCGGACTTAATAAATGGGTTTACATACCAGCAACGATGCCAGTAACATTAACGCTACAAATTATCTATCCGATCAAAGGTAAACGATCGCCTCAGTTGCCTGCAGTGTCATGATAACGATCAGGGTGCAAAATTAGGGTATTACGTTAGACGATACCAACGCTCCTCAAGCGCATTGTAGACTCTTCAGGACATGAATAGTAGTCAGTTCGATGGGTTCATAGACTTATACGCTTGAGGGTGGCAAAGTCTAGTGCATCAAGCAATTGCGCCTAATACTTTGCTGTAGCAGGAGTTGCTTGGTTAATTGGCCCAGGAGTTGTATGACAAACTGAGAACCAAACTAGGGAAAGCGATTGAGCGTCTTTAAGTCACTGAGTTACTAAGCAAAGTGATGCTGCAAAATTGTCGCCACGATCTAGATTGTATCTGGACTTTGCTCATTGACGTTACGTGGTTGCTGAGATTCGTGGTACATACTTGCAATTTGCCAAAATGGTACGTTGATCGCAATTGTACTTCTTCACCTTGGCAAATTCGCTTTTCAGATCTCGATGTCCATGGCCAACTGAGGAAAATGGTATCTATACTGGTCCGAAGAGCATGCTTATTGCAAAGTCAGTCGTGAAGATACGGGCCGTGGGATTGCTTAGCGCACATCGTGGATGGCTTTCTCCCTTTCTTGCGTGCACTAAACGGAACACGTTTTCTATGACCAGACCAATTTATGATGAGTGAGTAATATTGGAGCCCGAACCGAATGGCTATGACGTCATCTCGTTGGAGCTAAATGTGAACAATTGATAATTTACCACCAGGGATAAAATCACATACACTTAGATCACAAAAACCGCATCGCTCCATCTACCATCTATTGTTAACAATGTCTTCGTCCCAAACCTCGAACACCGCACAAGGAAATTACCCGCCGCCAGGGGACAGTACGTCTATAATCTCACACTGTTTATTCATATTCTCGACGAGATAGCAATGCATTTTACTTTACGGAAACAGCTACTTCTGAAGGAGGATATGGCGGTCAGGGCGTTCAAGCCTTCGCATCCGTCTCGCAACGCGGACTCGTGGACCAGACGACAGATGGTCAGCCGCTTGGGAACGAATTGGAAGATGCGTACCAAGGCACGGACGAAGTGGCTTCTAGGAAATTCAGGGAAGAGCAATCAGGTATGCTTCACTTATTTATCTTCTTCTCTTTTATAACGAATATACGTTGACTTACATTGTTTTCCCTATCTCTTGTCTAATGTCGAATGACAAACAGGCAATCAACCCGGAGCGCAACCCGCCTTGAACCCATATGGAGATTCGTTGGAGACTCGTGGAGAAGCCAAAGAAAGACTTACTCAAGGTGCAACTGACATGCGTGCAAGGACGTACCAGGATGAAATCCTAGACCGGAACGATCAATGAAAGAACATGTCAAATTTGAGCGCGTTTCGCGCAAATCTTTAAGTTTATGCAGTACAGAGACAGGTCTCGTCATCTTAAAATTACTACATGTTCTTGACCCAGGCAAAAAGCAGGAATGATGCATCATATACAGTTTATTCTTGAGTATTGATATATATGAAAGAATGGTAAACATTTGCCTGCCTGTTGTAAATGATATCTCAGACCATAAACATTTTTACAAAACATGCCTGGACTCTTTCTGATTCTACAAGTTCTCTTGCAACTGAGGTAACAACACAGGGGTAACACAAAACAACATGAAGACCCACCACTTCATCAGGCACAAAACCCCAGGAACAAATGTGCACGCCTATTTAAGTACTACTTAAGCAGAGAAATCCAAAGTGCCACTAGCAGTGCCAACCACTGCATCCCGTACTCTAACCCAATCAATTAATGAACAACTGTATGGTGGGGTCCGTGAAGGTACCAGTGGGCACAGTACCCGTCGCACCGCTAAATTCGTTGTCGACCGAGACAGCGGAACCATTGTCAGTACTCCTGACAGCTTTCGTCAATCCCGACCAGACATTATTTTCTACGGGGAGCTGGGTACCTGGTCTGTCCGAGTGAAGTCGGAGAAGATCGTCAGACAAAAAATGTATGAAGCAGCGAGACTCGTACCGTTGCGGGTATTAATACCATCATCATTATTTTCGAATACGCTATTGAAGATATGGCCTGTTCCGAATCGGAATGAAGGTATGTACGTGTTCAAGTCAACCTGATAAAGAGTAATTATGAATGACTTTCATTTGAGTCCGATGGATTAAAAGTCTACCAGTAGTTGTTGGCCATGGTGACAGTAGTAATCTCTTTATCCTGTGCTCCGTTACTGTCCGAATGTCCAATGAGGGATGCCTTCCAGTGATCATGGAGCTAAAGGAAGCGTAACATTAGCCTTAATATTAACATATGCAATAAAGAACTGTTTGATGACAGAGCGAAGGAATGAGACATACGAAACTGTTCGTGACGGAGATACCGGTACATCCGTGTGTGATGTCTGGTAGCCCATCGCAGCTTGTTGAATGTAATTTCCCACGAATTACTCAAACACTCACTAGTCCTAAATAAAACAATATGAGAAACTTTGACAAGCACTATGCGATACCTTAGAACATACCTTGTCATGGTCACGGTCATACAACGATCGTAGCACTAGTCAGCATTGGCATACCTCAGATGATAGACTACGAGTCATACGAACAGAGCTTAAATCGACATGGTCGACCCAGACATAGTTAGACTGTTGGATACCGATGTTGTCATTCGGGGCAAGGACCTTCTGAGTAAGCAAGTTAAGGATGATGATTTTGATGTTACGTGACTTTGTTTAACTTATAGTCCTCCTGTAGACCGATGCGATCCAGCACCATGGAGGACTGTAATTTGGCTCTCCCCATGTCGCTTGCACAAAGAGGCAATTAGAAATGAGAAATGGGATCAGCGCGAGACTGAGCAATCTTATGCATCTTCATTAACTTTCCCGAGCTGTCAGTCGCAGGATGTAGGGGCAATGGATGTTAGAATTCTTGGTCTTTTGACATGTTTATCAGCGAGCTAGTGCATTGTGAGATCCGAGAATACCATGATGTAGCTAATACGCTTACGGTCGAACTTCACTCTGCGACTGCCACGTTTGAGCGCCTGCGGCACAAGACAATTCCAGATTTCTGGTCTGTCGATAGTGGTCACCATTTCAAGAGTCATGTTGAATTTCCGCATTCAACAGTGAGGCCAAAACTCATTGAAAGTCAATGCAATCAATACTGCAAGTTCAATACGCATTTGCACTTTGGACAGAAAAGCGTGCAGGCGTACCCCAGAAAGCCCTTCCGTTGAAGGTACGCACTATGCAATGATACTCCGGCCGACCCTCTTCATTGTTATGACTTAGGAGAGCGAGTTTGAATTGATACTCAGTCGGGTCGACAGAAATTGTTTGTGAGCAACGGAACGATGGAGGCGGTGAATGATAGGAGCCTTTGATTCCAGACCCAGCGATGTAAACTGGATTACCGAGCGTGCGAATAACCAGTGTCGCTGACGAATCACACTTTGAGCCATTGCACTTTAAGTTGAAAATTTCCATGAAATGCGCAGGCAAACAGTGGAATTTGATGTACTATGCACACCTTTTCTTCTTGAGCGCTGGCACATATGAAAGAAAGATAAATATTTGCCTTAATGTAAATAACGCCTCAGAGTATAACCTTTCTGGCAAAGAAAAACTCAGGCTGTTTCTGATTCGTCAAATTCTCTTGCCATTGAGGTAACAACGCAGGAGAAAGATAAAACAAGACCAAAACCCACTATTCAAACAGGACCAAAACTCGGAAAGACCAAGGAACCAAACCTCTGCATAATCATACCACTACTTAAGCGGAGAAATCCAAAGTAGCACCTGCAGTACCAACTACGGCATCCCGCACGCTGTCCACATCAATCAACGAAAAGTCGTATGGTGGGTCCGTGAACGTGCCAGTGGCTGCCGTATCCGTCGCACCATTAAATTCGTTGTTTTCCGAGACAGCGAAGCCATCATCAGTACTCTTGATGGCCTTTGTCGCTCCCGACCAGACACTGTTCTCTACAAGCAGCTGTGCGCCTAGTTGGTTTGAATGAGATAGAACAAGATTTTTAGAGACATGGGGTAATATGCGAGGTAGCGAGATTCATACCATCACGGGTATTAATACCATCGTCATTGTCGTCAAAGACGCTATTGAAGATATGCCCTGTTCCAAATCGGAATGAAGGCGTGCGCGAGTTCAGGTTCAACCTAATAACATGGCGTATTATTAGTCTCTTTCAGTCGATTCTTACAGAATAAGAACATACCAGTAGTTGTTAGCCATGGTGACGGTGATTGCTTTGTCCTGCGCTCCGTTACTGTCTGAGTGTCCGATGAGGGACGCCTTCCAGTGATCATGGAGCTATAGTATTGTCACATTAATCATACAATAGAGAACCATTAAGTGACAGGGAAAAGGAGTGAGACGTACGAAGCTGTTCGTGACGGTGACACCAGTACATCCGTGCGTGATATCTAGCAAGCCATCGTAGCTGTTGATATTATTATTAAACGTATAGTTCTCATGCAAGCCGGTTGCTAAACAAGCTTACAAGTCCTAAGTAAAACGGCATGAGAAATGTTGACAAGCATTATGCAAACCTCAGAACATACCTTGTCATGGTCGCGGTCCTGCGGTAGCCACAGCACTGGTCAGTATGGTCACGTCTTAAATAATAAGATATTAGTAATACGGACAGAGCTCAAATCGACATGGTCAACCCAGACATTGTTTGCTTGTTGGATACCGATGTTGTCGCCTGGCGCAAGGACCTTCTGGATGATTAAGTTACGGATGATGACATTCTCCTTCTCGAGAACTCGCAGGCCAACGCCAACGAGGGCTGTAAAGCGACACATAACAGAAAGATGTATTTATGCCTTGATTTATGAAAGAAGAGTCAGTAATACTTACTTGCACCTGACGCACCGAGAACGGAGGTGTTTGATCCTATTTCGACAACATCGCCACCTGTGATTGTGCCTTGGACGATGACAACTTTGGGGTCATCACCAGCCACAGCTGCAGTGAGCTCGTCGAGTGTGGAAACAGTTGTGACAGGACCGCCTGAGCCTCCTGACGTTCTGAATGCAGTTTTTGCATGAACAAGCATAAATCAATATTATTGGCAAGAGGATACATACCCGCCGTTCAACGTCGCGTACCCGACCGTTGCGACGTCGTTGACCGAAGCCCTCTTGAAGACCGTGGGCACAGTGCCGGCCTAACGAAATTTAAACGCTTCAGCTTAAATCACTTGCGACGAAGATATAATAGCATAATGCAACGAACTAAGACAGTCTGAGCAACAAGAAGAGCACAGATGGGCGACAACAATTTCATGCTTGGATGTAAGAAAGCAGACTAGGTGAGCTCTGACCGAACTCAGCGTATATTTCTATCCTTTTTATATCGTAGGGAAAAAAAACTGGATTGTTCATTTCGGACTTCTCTCGGACGCGACTCTTGAATGCGCCGTTCACAGGAGGTACGAAGACGTGATTGCCAAGAACTAAAGTCGAATAGACACTCTTCGCAAGACGTGTCGGGCGGTCCGCCAAAGCCGCTACTTCCCATGAGTTTTGCGTGTCTGTTATAAGTCGAAGAATACGAGGAAATGAAACAGAATTACGTGGTGTACTTGAGTTCTGGGCTAGGCTTTGTCCAGGTCGGTCCAAACTCGTGAGATTGAATACTGTTACCAAACTGCGATCGAGCTGAAATTCAGCATTGGTCCCTAAATTTGTTGCTGTGAACCCGAATGGTCTGCTGGATTCTAGCAGGGCTTTCGAGAAACGCTGCCCGGAATTGAAACGAATAGCGCATGGTCAAACGACGCAGGGTTTTGCCGTGTATGAATGAGCGGTCCGCTGAGGCTCTGCATCGAACAAGAGCTACGTGCACACACATAAACCGATGTACGTTTCCCTGAGGAACAGGCCCAATCAATCCATATACGACGGAATAATTTGTTGTCTCCGGAAATTTGAGAAGCCGAGAGGAGGCACGGCAAACATACAAACTAGGTTGAGAAGATCAGAGAAGGCGGAATTCGGTACCATATAAGCTCAGAATCCCAAGCACGCCCGGACCGTGTCAACCATCTGGTAGCCTGCAAAACGATTCGGTTTTCCCGAGATGAGGATATCACATGGAAGAATCTGCCTGCAGGAAAGTGGGATCTGCGTTAGATTCTGGAAATGGCCAAATTTCTGACCCGTAGTAGGATGATATGGTATTAATACGTAAAGTGAGGCGGTAGAATGAAGGGCATAACATCTCTTGCGCGATCCAGATGTCAGAGTAAGTATAGCAATTCGGCAGAATCAAAAATAACTGAACGCAGATTTTATCCACGTGAAGCCATACGCCATCCTACATTTGGAGCCCACCGCGACGCGTGCCAGGCAATACTACCGAGAAATTGCGTCCGGAGTTTGCCTTATGAATGCAATGCGAGATGAGCCAATGTAGGTGGTGTGCAGCATGGAAGGAACGATGAGACATCGGCCGGAGACTGAAAGGAAAGACAGTTGAAACACAATGGAAATCCTGAAAGGAAACGGTAACACTATGCAATAAATTAGTCAACTAAAGGGCTTAACACAACTTTCTGCAACAGCCACTTGGTTGTGAAAATGGCGCAACTAGTTGAACTACAGGAGTGTCGAACGACGATTTTATCCATTTTTGCGATCGTGGCAAATGCTTACATAATCGTGAAACAGGGAACAGAGTCATGGCGGCGCAAACAAATAATTTATACGATTATCTTTGTAATTTATTATACGTCGGGATTGGCTAAATATTACTTATCGTTCTCTCCATTGCAGAAATATAGCGGAGATGAGTTCTGTGAGGATTGCAGTAGGGTCGGGGATGAATTCAGTGTGTAAAATAGCAACTTTGGCATCCTTTCTTTTACTTCTTAGAATGATGGAAACGTCGTTAGTAACGCATTGGGGAACATTCGATACACATGAATTGCCATCACATTGGACATTAGCTCTTTTCCATCGTCTCCAATACTATAATGGCGAAAGGGATATTGTCCGTCAACTGGTTCTCGGCGACATTGGAAGGGTTCGCAATGTTGCAGATCATGGCAATTGAATTCCCCTAGAACGGTGTAATGCTTAAATTTAGGGTTGTGACTAAGATGCAAAATTACATGCCTTGAGTATTAACTATCGCTAACGCTTGCTTACATTGCAGCATATGTTATCTCGATTCGTAATAGACGCGTCCATATTGCACCTTGCACCGATCGGCATCTTCCGCACTACTGCGAAAGCATTGTGATATACACTATCGTACTAGCATAATGAACAAGCAGAGTCAGTTTGCGCTCATCCTCGTATGCCTCTTCTTAAGATTGATCTAAAACTAGTCTGCGGGTATAAATAGCGCACTATTTCCCCACAATTTCCTTTGCCAGTTCGTTCATCGTTCTCGATTTTGACTAACATCTTCCAACGCCCCCATAGAACACGACCATGTCCTGCGAATGCACATTCGGCTGCAGCATCAAAGGCTGCAAAGGAACATGTACTTTCACTCGCGATGAGAATACCGAGAATGCACGTCGAAAGGACCCGGTACCAGAGCAACCAACGAGTGTCGGTGTTCCAAACAACAGGAGGCGGACCTCGTCCTCAAACACAACTAGAGTTGACGGAAGCTACAACATACAAAACCACACGGTCTCGGGCTCAGTTCAGAAAACGACAGAGGACAGAGTGTCTGAAGCCGGTGATCAGCCTCAGCCTCGGGAAGAGCGTAGACGGAGTCACACGAGTGGTGATCGTCGTCACAGACACTCGAACTCCCGTAGATAGTAAGAAAGTTTAGGAAGAGTGCTGTACAAGGGATACTGAATGAATCTAGGAGGGTTGGAAGCCATGTTCATGTAGTAGTATCCATGTATCTCCTTATGTTCCTTGATAAGCACAGTAGTAAATCAAGTATTAGAGTAAATATGTTGATCTGGACAGATACCTAAACTTAGAAATGAAGACGACTGACAAAGCCTAGCTAGGATTCACTATTCAGTATTACATGTTGGTGAATTATTCCTTATAACCAAGTGGCGGGAGACCTGCTGCCTGCAAGTCCGCGTTCACCTGTGAAATATGGTTCATAAACTGTCCTTTCAGGTCATCCCACATCTTCGGTTCATGCTCTGTGCACATGGCATATTAAGTAGGTATTAAACAGTTGCCACGGATGACACGCACCATGACGCTTAAGTGACTTCATTGCATAATCTGTAAGCGTTAAAATCATGCTTGACTCGAACATGAAAGCTTTGAACCGGGGTTGACTGAGTATTTATTTAAAATTCGTAACTGCAAAAACATACCCATAGTGCTTTCGTGGATCCTCATAGGCTTCAGCTCACTTTCCGTCGCAAGCTTGAACTCTTCATAAGATACACCATGAGGGCAAAAACCGGTTTCGTAAGAGCACGATCCCGGTTGGAACTCATCGGATCGTCCGCTATACGTTCCATAAATCAGTCCCATGAACTCGGTTGCAGAGTTGCGGTGGTAATACTAGCAGGGAAGGGCGGTGAGTAAGCGGTAGTATACGATCAGCGAAGCATTACTTAACGCACAGGTGGTCTGAAAGTATGCGAAGCAACGTCCCATCGCGGACTGAAGATCAGGAAGTCCATCAAAGGAGTGCCTTGCGTCTTTGACTTGGCCGTCAGAACACAGAATATAGACGGATCGATATGATCCTTGGAAATAGATCCAACGTTGACAAACTTCTCCAAAGCGTACTTGTACGGAACATAGCTGTAGAAGTTGAACAATATCGAATGAGCACTTAGCGGTTTCCTTGCACAAAGACATCCATCCGCACTCACTTTCCGTGCCATGCCACCACATCAAACGGGGTATGCTCCTGCTTACAAACATACAGCTCACCACAAACCCTGAAGCTATTTTAGTACCCCTGAAGCGTTTGACGATTCAGAAGCTTACTTGTAGACTATTTCCCAAGGTGACTGGTCAATATCAAAGCTTGCGATGGGATGCTCAAAATCACGTGGATTCGCAAGACCGTGGCCACCTAAAGGTCCTAGTTCTGGGAGTTCGAAATGTGACCCATATATCTCCTGTATATCTGAATCGAAATTAGCATCGACTTCTGCATGCATGAGACATGACTTACATCCTCGAGAAGGTCCATCAAGAAAGGCAACCCTGAACCTGATTCCGCGCTGTATGACTAACAGCTCTCCAGGTCGAACCATAAGCTTGCCCATTTCAGTCTGAACGTCCATGCGTCCTTGCTGAGGAAGAATGAGCATATCTCCATCATTGTTGCAGAACGCCTTATTGCCCATTGAGGTGTTTGAGGCGTACATATGAATTGCGAGACCCTCTCGGAGGGTGGGATCTCCATTCCCAGCGAAAGATTTCAGACCATCGATGAAGTCCACTTTACCACTCTTGGGAATATCGATCGGATGCCAGGCCTGCTGAGTTGGTGAGGTATGTACGCGAGAATTACTCGGCGAAAAGTTATTCTCAAGCTTTTCATGAATAAGCAACGTGCGCACAATACTCCAGATAATAAAAGATCACTTACATCGGGATTATCGGGAAGCCTTAAAAATCCTTGATGGGCAACAGCTGGGCGGATGCGATAAAGCCAACTTATCGTCACACAATTTTGTTAATACAGAGCCTGCGAAGCACGGTTGAGCGTACATACGCGGTCTGTTTCTCGGCTTTTGGGGCCACAAACGATGTGCCCGTCATCTGTAAATAATATGGTTAGACTAAGCTTCAAGTGCTAGACGGAGGCGAACCTGTTCTGCATAGAGGTCATATTTACATTTCTGAGGGCTGTTTTGGGCATACGGCAATGAACCCGGGCTAATAATAATAATGATGATGATGACGTGATTCAGAGCCAGAATCTTATGATCGATTTTGAATAAGTACTCTTACATCGCTTCAGAGGCGAATCGATTACCGAAGCCGACTTGATACGAATATGGGTCCTTTGCTGTCGGCTTCACTGAGAACGAACCTGCTGCAGTAGCACCGCTGGAAGCAGAACCGTTGTAATTTCTTCTAGGGTCAAGCTGGTAAAATTAGAACAGATCAGCGAAAACTCCATATTTGTCGTAACATACCAGGATGGTACGAGCATAAGTGGCCAGTCGTGGAGTGACATGAAACAAAGAGCGCTTCTGGCTCCTTAGGAGGCATCTGCTAGTGGGAAGACCAAGTCGAGGGAGCGGCATTACGAATGGATACTGAGACTGAGGCGAGGCCAGGTTCTCTTGACGTCGAGTCTCTTTAAGGTCGCCATGGCTGATCATTTGTTCCGAAGGTCGTCTTACGAACACCGGCCTTTCATCACATGTGGGAGCCGAGAGAGGCGGTCTGGTCGGGCTGGCTGTAACATCATACCCAGTTGTCTAGAGACACGAGAACATTATGACACGTTAGGATAGAGATACTACCTCGCATAAACAATTTACCCTAAGTCCCTTTAGAGCATATCGTGCGTCGCTGCGTTCCGTCTCACCAGAGTGAAAGAGTCTGACTAAACTGATCAAGTGGCATCAGTTTACTGTTTAGCAGCTTTCGTCGAGGGGCTAGTCTTCGTATGGGTTTGACGATGAGAATTGACATGTTTTTAGTGTGCAACACATGGCACATGGGGCATTTCACAATTTCTTGCCTTAAGAAATAACTTACATAATGATAAACATTATTTGTAATTTAGTTTACCATTTTTGGTTGGCAGAAACTCTGAACAGAATTTAAAATTTTCATTATACAAAAACTAGAAATTAAATTTAACATTTCCCTATTTGTAAAATCTTTAAATAAATGGAGAAAATAATTTAAAACATAATTTAAAGTTTTTCCTATAGTAAAATTATAAATTTTACTTTCAGATTTAGTGACAAGAAAAATTTGAAA